TTTGGCCTATATCACTTTACAATACACCAAATATAAACCTATTTCTGAACGTTAAACCTCGAGTAAACAGCTTAAAACCAACGTGTATATTTCCCGCTATTTTCTGTCACGTGACTGTGTCTGTTGAATGACGTAATTATTTATCTATTTTTAAATTAGCGAAACACTAGTTGTTATTATACGCTTCTATTTTTCATTATTTTCAGGATTTTATATGGACGGACGAAAGTAACAATTATATTCGGAGAAATAAACTCGTCTCTCTCTCTCTGCTACTATCCGATTTCGCACCTGTGGCCTGCGAACGAATATTCTCATGACAGCTCATACACATTAGTTACTAATAAACACGTCCTGGTATTCACACGCAAGCTCATAGGCCTATACACATGTTTTGATTCTTCATGTTTTGATTCTATTGATCTGGAACAGATTGTACAAATGCAGAAATTGAGCGAACTATTAAATAAGGGATGAATTTTCTTAATCCTTCGTTTGTACACCTGAACGAGCCTGCCGAAAAGGTAGAGTTAAGACTCTGAAATGGTCGTTTCCGGCAACCTAGAGGTTCTAAATGTTCAAAATTTTCTCGCTCGGCAACAACCATGGTGGCGCCTCGTGAGACTTGACCCCCCTGATTTCAAATACATTCCCACGTCCCTGTTCTGTGGCATGATGTTTTTGCAGAATTGTTTTTTACGCTTCTGTTTAATTTCTTTTTGAATATCAAAAAGTCGGTCCCCAAGTGGCCCACACCCCCCTAGAAATTCCTTAGATGTGCGCCCCTGATTTTTATGTATATTATTAATACGTATAATACTCGTGCTATTTTGATGCTCTTTGAAAAACTCACTCATGTCTTATCCAAATTGCACTCGAAACCATCCTATTACCTATATAAGTGTAATAATGTTAACATACCAACGTATTAGTTTTAAGCCGGTATATATCTTGTCTAAATGCACGGCCCTATGAAAAACAGCCATTCTATTATTTTTTTATTATCTCTTGTGTATAGCTACTATGTTTTAAAACTTTTAATCATGCAAGGTAAGGTTGATAAACTACAAACATCATTAAACACAAAATAGAAATAAATAATAGAAATACAGAATACTTAGTTACAATGCCATTATAAGCATAATATAATATATATTCATGTGCGTGTTATATTGCTTTTAATCAAGTGGAAAATATTTCCAAAAATTCATGCAAATACTTGTTCGTTAATTAATTCGGGCAGCAGTTAGTGCCCACGCTCATAACACTTTAAAACAATTGAAGAGAGATTCTTTAATTCATTAATTACAAGAAATTGAATACATGCATTGCAGTCGTGACAGAAGAGCTGCTTAAATAGAGCATTTTCCCACCCTAATAGTCTACAAGTTTTGAAAGATTCAAACGTATCTTCGTACTGTACTGAATAGCTGTACGCCATTGCCATGAAATCGTAAACTCGTAATTAAATCCTTGTCTGTTTGCACATGATTCAAATCGCTGACCTTAATTAAAAGTATTTTACAATTCGGTGAAAATGGAGGACCACACAAATGGCCAAATTCTTCACGCTTTTTCAACAGTACAGCTGGAGGTCAGTGAATAAGATTCATGCGTTTTTCACATACGCTGGTGGCATCGACATAGAATTGACGGCTATTGATATTTACAGGCAAATATTGTAAACACAGAATCCTGATACTCAAAACGTAAAAGCACAGTAATTAAGGATTCCACGAGCGGTTTTCCTCGGCCAAATGCTTCGCGAAATAAATTCGTGCATGTGAGATAACTCATGGGCTTTGCGAGAAAAAAAATTTCGCTTCACCATCACTGCAAAAGCGAACAAAGTGGCAAAATTCAATAGAATTACTCATGCATGCGCAACTATCCATATTTCGCAGACGCAATTTCGCGTGAAGAATTTCATCGCGGCGTGGAATTTTAGGCTTCCTGGCAACTATTTGAGGCCTTTACGCTTCCTGGCAACTAATCAGTTTTGAATTCTACTTTTGTATTTACTCAATTTCCTACTGCCGTTATGCAGCAAGCCTTTCTACTGACGTGCAACTGATACAGACTTGATATTTCTGAGAACCTCAGTTTTCAGAGAAATTTGTAACGCTTCGTCAGCCTTCGTGAACCATGAAGTATTCTCATTGCATTGACGGGAGCCTAGAGAGTGATGGGACTGTGTACGCGCGCTTTGGTTAGCGGCTGGCTTATTAAACAACGAAACGAGGAAATCATATGTAATCGGTAAAAGGCTAAATCGCATACGCCTTATCGCTCTCTGCGCGCTTGTAAACGCCTCCGCAATTGTATACGCATAAACCATTGAATTTATATAAACATTTCATATAGCGCCTGGGAACGAGGCGGCGTCTACAATCCTTTCGTGCTTTGTTTAATTTCTGTTAAACGAGGCGAATATATATACAGACACAATTTTATAGACAGGTGTAAAATTTCTGCATTCGTGTTAGGCTTTGAAAATAACTTTAAAGGCATACTTTAATATTTATCGGGCCTATTTCAGATGCACTTTAATGATATTTGAAACATGGCAAACGTCATCTTGATATATAGCATCATCAACTCAAAAATATTCATCATAACATCAGCATAACCTAAAATTGATCACCGTAATAATAATACGATGTTGTATTGGATAATAATCTCGAATGGTCGGTGTAGGTAACGACGATAATATGACAGCTGCCGTTTGAGAGGGATTATTATTATTATTATTATTATTACATTATGTATATTTCTCCAAATATGGTTTTTCAGAAATAATTACAGTAATATCATAATGTATGTTTTAACTACAATAGCTTTATTTACATATTTAAAATTATTAAAATATCTAAAACTATTTAATTAAAATTGCTGAGATTCGCGAATCCTAAAAAGGGTATTACAAGTATCAAGCAGTCCACTCCTTGAAAAATAAATGCAGAATTTCGACGTTTCGAGCGAAGACTCTTCGTCGAAACGTCGAAGTTCTGCTTATATTTTTCAGGTAGGTGTATGATCTTACTTAATCCCCAACTGTCTAATATTGGATAGTCGGATTTTGGAGATCTACGCAAAATAGAGCTTCTTATTGTTGTGCTTTGAATCCCCATGATCAGTTTAGTTGTGTGTTATGCAACAATGCTTGGCTTGATATAAAAGATATTATATATAATACTGTATAAAATATATATTTTTTATGAATAATCATTTAAGGACGTTTACCCAGTCGGATTTATAGCAGAGAGTTGTGCAGAGTGATCAAGTCTGCAGAGGAACATGACTACTGCACTAACTGCAGTACACGTGATGTGCTCAGTCGAATCATAGTTAATATAGGTGAACCTCTTTCTATAATTGATAATTGATAATTAAATTGCATTCATAATACAGCAGTCATAGACAGTCGATGATTGATCATGACTCGAATGATCATGAATTTTGCTTTTTTTTTCTCTTATTTTGGAAACAATTTAGTCCCGCCTACTGCCTACAGGCGACAGGAAAAACACTGCAATAGGCTCTTTTGCATAACGTCACAAATACGTCAAAACAATGAGTGACTGGAATACTGTGCAGCTTGGAAAACAGTGGCATTTTCAAAACAATGACAAGACAATGGAACATTGCGATCACAACGTGATTATAGTTGGCACTATGAATATTGCGTTAAGTGCTATGTGAAGGGCTATTGTCGTATAACAACATTGAACTGTACAGCAATCAGCAATGCATTTATTTACGCGACCGTGGGCTCGCGTAAGCTGTTGTAAGCGTTGCTATATAGTCCCTAAAAAATATATACAAAACAATTATGGCTTAAGCTCTCTTACCTACAGCGTCCAAATATCCGTCTTCTTCCTTAATCCGATCAACAACGTTTTTCACATCTTCTTGCGATGAAATGTCCATTTGCAACATAAATAATGTTTTGTTTAAGTATTTCAAAATCTTCGTGTCGCTGAGATTTTCACCGCTGGATAGCGAAGAGACGGCCACCAGAACTTTGAAGCGCTTTTGAGGGTCTGCGGCAAGACGTAGCCCGTAAGATATCGCCAGCTTCTCAGAGGAGCCCGTGAATAACACTATCTGTTGGCGGCAGTCGTTCTCGTCGCCTTCACTCTGCCGAGCGCGCTTCGGGAGGCTTTTAAAAGCCCCCATAACAAAGCACGTCTTCCGTGAACTAACCACCAAAGTATAGGGAATGATATATATAGTCTCCTACTCGCACGGCGGTGTTTCAAATTTTATATGTAGGATTATAAAAGCCGGACGGCGGAGTCGATTCCGAGACGTTGTATTTGATATAACGGGCTTATCCTCAAAATAGGTATAAATAACCAGACAGATTAAACCGCACTTGAGAAGCGAAGTATATCTGTTACCGCTGCTATAGAGAAAAAAAGCAACACGATTTGATAATAAAATCAAGCCAAGTTAGATTTAAGAAATCGTTTAGAGCGCGTGTCCCAGCGCCTTCAACATATGCTACTTTACTGATACACAACAGACTAATCAGCTGATCGCACTGACATATCTTACCTGTGTATATGCGAAACACGCCTCACAATATATGACGCAGCGGGGAATTAAAAGCTCTGTGTGAATATACAACGCGTCTGTTATGAACCAAGATTCATTATTCATATAGTTTTGAGGATGTAAAAATATAGCTTCTTTAATCGCTTGCTGTAGAATCACAGATTATTTTGCGATCTCTCGTGATGTAAAGTTCGTCACTGTGTATAGCTGATTATTGCGCGGCAATTAGATCGCTTTTCAAGACAGGACATCGCGTGTGACATCTGTCATAACTTCCCACACCGACACAGTGTTCGTGTATATAGACATTCAAAGAGTTTATGGCCAGCTATGTCCGGCGAATGTCTTAATCTATGCGTGATACACACTTAGGCTCGGTTTTGCATATACATGCTAACTACAAGTGAAGTTTTTCGACCACAGCATTGTATGCGTGAACTGCAAAGCGAAATGTTTGTTGAAGATCAATATCTGGTATCAATTATCGCCAACGAAACAGATTGACGTAGCAACAGCTGAGCTGTCAGCTTCTATTAATAATGGACTGTAATATTTGACTAATTTTGTCATTCAATTTCTATCATTAAATGAGATCTTTGATGGAATCTTGTCTGTTAGTTTTCCGGTGCGCAGCAATGCAAGAAGACTAGATACATATATTAAAGCGGCATGACATCATTCAACACTTGAAAGAGAAACACTAATCATGATGAGTACTACACACTGTATGACGGGCGAAATTGACTGACGAAAGCCTTAAAAGCTTTAAGTAGGTTTGTTCACATATTTTCTAGTATTTGGACGTGATTTCCCTTGCAGAAAGACTGCTTTCACCTCGTGGGTATGTATGAAAATTACAAAATCATGATAATCATCTTCCCTTTGTAGATCGAAATTTCGAGTGAAATCTTTAAACATTTATTATTACCAAAGCCAGGAGCAGTTGCGATACATGAATCAAGTGGTTAAAGCTAAACAATTAACTGTCTCTAGCTCTGTTGCTCAGTTCGGTCATATAGAGCATTGCACCGGAATCGCAGGGCAGCGAATTCCTGCCAGAGCCGGCAGAGGGCTGATATATAGTTGCATTTTTGCAACTGTTCCTGGTTAGGTCTAATAAATGTATAAACATTCGACTGAAAATTTCCATCTACAGACCCCCTTCATTTCAACTTTAGTTATATCGAGTAAGATGCCCAAAAATCCCGTTATTTTCTTATATATGTACAGGACGTAATTTCCAGCATGAGCTCCACCTTTGAATTTACTATATGAGTAAATTCTTAAACACGTCCGAATTTATCATTATGCGGATAAATTCGCGGCACATTTTGCATTTATCATAATGATAAATTCGCGGCATCTAACCCCTACTACTAACCCCAATCCCATGCAAGCCCAACTCTAACCACTAACCCCTAACCCTAACTTTTTAAACTTTTTAAACTTTTTAAACTTTTTAAACTTTTTAAACTTTTTTAACTTATTTAACTTTTTTAACTTTTTTAACTTTTTCAACTTTTTTAACTTTTTTCACTTTTTTTGAAAATCTAACTTTTTAAACTTTTTCTTTTCTTTTCTAAAACTTTTCAAAAACTTTTTAAAAACTTTTTTTTCCAAAATCTCGAATATAGTAAATTCAAAGCCGTGGAGCTCATGTTGGTAATTTACCGCGACGACCCGACCAGAAAGACTGCTTTCATCTCGTGTGTATATGTACTCGAAAAATATGATAATCATCCATTCATCCCTCTTGCGCTAGGGATCGCTCCATATATTGCTGCTCTATCCAGTGGCTTGGTATTGTCTCAATGCAAGTGAGTCAAAAATTGTATTTAACCCCAGCAAAGTTTAATAGCGTGTCCAACAAACAATCGAATTCTGAGTTCATATTGTCCTAGGCTAAGGTCCTAAAATGCTTAATATTCTATTGGAAAATTATATCGGATAAGTCAGTTTTCATGCGCCCGTCCAAGAAGGACTATATAGATACGGCAATCAGTTTTACTTCGGCGAGTGGGATGGTAGGCTATCATTTCATTGTCGATGTAACAAACGTGCGTTATAAACATGCTAACTAGAAAATACATGCATGCAGAAACCCTCGCCTTGCTGACAAAACCATTGTATTTTCCAAACATGAAGTATCCAAAGTTGTTGCCATGGTAATAACACGATAATTTTTTAAGAATATTCTTACAAATGAAAAATTGCCTAAAATATCAATTTTAATTACAAAATTATCAATTTCCCAACATATATTTGTTAGGTATGTTATTATACGTAATATAAGCTTCAATTTAAGGTAAAATTC